TTGTGGCAATTCTGTCAACCCACCCATTCTTTTCAGTTTTCTCATCTATAATAGTATGAAAGAGAATAGTATGTAAGCAAGACTATCATCCTCTCTTCCATGACTTAAATTTTTCTTTCACGCTAACCTTTAATGAGTTTTAAAATATCAAAATTATTAATTAATGTGTCCGATGTGTTGATAGATTGTTGTCGTGAAGGTTTAGTTCATTGTTTCATTAATAGATGTTTCTCTTATACGATGTATTAATAATTATATTATTATGAATGAGTCGTCGGCTATAAGAAAATTATTAATTAATATAATGCGTCCAGGAAGATCTAATGTAAAAATTAGTACTTACGAAGATGAAATAAATGAATATCAATAATTCTTCCGTTGCTAATCTAAGGTTTTCGTTCTCGATCTTCGCGGAAGTTTCTTATTTTTCAGATATTCATTATCAAGTTTAATAATATAATTTCATCATACGATATCTCAGAAGCTTCTGCAAAGAAACTCCAAGAAATAGCTTTATTTTTTGAAAATATGTAGTAAAATATCTAAAAATTAAAATTATTTTTATAATTAAAAATTTATTGGCTTGTCCGATTCGTAAAAAAATAAATAAATAAAATATCTTAAAGAACATAGCCTCTAAAAATCTTTGGCAATCCGAAAGAACATTGAAATGTTTTTTATGGTTTCAGAATCTACTAGAAAATCTTCTAATATAACGAATTTATTTTCAATATGGCTTTATAATTATTAATACTCTTTCACTACTCTCGTCAGCAACTTTTGAATCAAAACCTTTTCGGTTATATGAATCTTTAAATTCTTCCTCTTCCGAAATCACGATTTCTTATATTCCATATATTTATTTGATTTTGCATAATTCTCAAGCAAAATGTAAAAGCACCTAAAATACGACGATTACACCCCACAAATATCCAATTGAATGAGAATGCGGTTTGAATTCTTTATTAAGTTCTGTAAATATTTCCAAATTTATCTACTCGCGATAAATCTTTATTTTCACGCCTTTCGAGATCGTCTAACATTTTTACGGTCAAGTAAATTTTTTTTTTAAAATATTCGACAGCAAAATGAAGTTCAGACAACATTTTCCCTCCCAAAGTACTTATCATTATATATACCAACTCCATCAATGATTTTGAAGATCATGAAGTTACTTTGTATAAGATTCTACCCGTGATGATGGATTACGTATTTAATAACAATCGTAATTCAAGGAAATAACACAATACATGTAAGTAATGCACCATAATTTGCAGAATCTCATCGTATTCTCGTCATTTATCGAGTCCTTCTTGAGTGACTTTTGCAAAAAATTTTAGAAAGAATGACGCGATATACTTTAGATAATCCTGTACATAAGGATTGAGACTTCGATGTTTCCTAAATAAAGTACACGATAAAATTCGCATGTTATTCATACTATTTATGCTGTTTAAAATCCAGTGTACAAAACACGTTAATCATGACATAAAGTACATTTAAAGCATGTTTTTCAACCAACCTTGTCATAATATTTTGTGAGATGCTTGTAAAATTCGGTACTTAATTTTGAATTTTCCTTAATATTTGTTGAATCCATTTCTTCTAATTCGACGGGAAAAAACATTCCTTTGGTTCTTGGATCCTCAACACCATCGTATCAAACTATTGTCATAAAATATGTTAGATCATCAGGTATGCTAAGAAGTAATTCTAAAGATTAAATCATTAAACTTACAGCTTCCGTTTTATCCAAACAAATCCTTTTCGACTTTCGTCCTTCATTATAGTCTATGTCTTAAAAAATAGGATTCCTAAATGACAAATTAAATTAAGAAAGTTTGAAATTAATAAGTTTTGAACAGATTTGAAAAACACGAACAAAAACGTTGATTTACCTTTTCCTGTAAATTTGATTGCTTCCCAGATTTCTATAACATTAAAGATGGATGTGTGAGAAAAATCCTTAATATAAGGAAGGTACATAGCCGATTCCTTCTCCAAACTTCTATAGTAAGATGTGCACGTTGCAGAGGTGAAAGCACTCACAGTCTGAACGCTCTTCTTCCCACGGGATCGCTGTCCCAGGGCGTAGCACACTCACTACGCTCGTTAAATATTTTATGTAAAAAGTATTAACCTTTAATTCGCGCTTTAACGCCAACACTTTCTGAGCTATTCTTGTTTTGGGTCCTACGTTATTTACCATCACTTCTAGCTCACAACCTAAGGATTTATGTGATTTCCACTCCAACGCATCGGGACATTCTTTGGAGAAAAATTGTTCCATGTGACTAAAGATCATTCCATATAAGGTCTTTCCCAATAAGAATATCGAAGTTTTCGCGAGACTTCTTCCGGTAACATAGGTAACATAAAAAGAGAAAAGAAACAAAGTTACAAAATATGAGATTACCCGTTAAGCTAAAGGACTTTATGGACAAGTACAAAATATAACGCGACGCGTTTTCAATCCCCAATATATCAGTCAGGGATTTTACGTCGATCATTTGATTTATGGTATAAAAATGCCGATCAGAAGATTGAAGGACTTTAATCTGGGTCATGGACCTGCTCAACTATAATAATCTACTTTTTTTTAATCATAAAAGTATAATAAATTACAAATAAAAAAGTTTTTTTGAAAAAAAGATCGGCAATCTAAAATTAGAACGATATGCATTTTAATTAATTTTTAGTTAAGATCATCTGGGTTAACAATGATTTTTCTACAAAATAAATAAAAAAAATATTTCCCTTTTTTGAGTACCGGAATCCTTGAATCTATTGGAGTTTTATGAAATGGAACAGACTGTTAATGAATCTATTTTTTTTAATTAAACAAACACATTAACATTTATGACAGATTAGAATTGAATATAAGAGAAAATTGTTAAATTTTTCTTAAAAAATGAAAATAACAAATATTACTTTACCTCTTTTGTATCTTTTGTAAAGTTCTATGATGTGAAAATGATTTTGTTAATGAATTTTTTTTTAATTTAAACAAAAATACTAAAGTTGAAACTGTCAAAACTATATTAAAAATATAGCTAAGGTATGACAAAATTATTTTAAGAAGGTTTTGGCAGGCATCTATAAGTGTAAGTCATTTTCTTAACAATAATTTTCCATCTGCTTTTTTTACAATCAGAGTAAATGAAATTTGCTATTCTTGCATTTCTTTATTTTTTATGCCTGGCTAGAAGTTGGCAAATTCTTTTAATTGTAAAATTGATAGATATTTTTGATCAAAAATAATTTTTTCTTTGATAAATTCATTTGATTAAAAATTGATAAATTCTTTTGGATGAGTATTAATAAATTCTTCTATATAAAAAAGATTAGAATCAATAATAACAAATTAACAAACATTTTGTCATAAAAATTAAGAAAATTAATGATTTTGAAAGTAATAGATTTTGGATCAGAAAGTTTTTGATACATATTATTATATATAGAATAAAGAGTAAAAGAGAATTTTCTTTTTAAATAAATATTATAAGAATAAAGCTTTTTCTTTTCTTAAATAAAGGTTTTTTTATAAAGAGTTATATTTTGTTCAAAATTTCTTATAAATGTGTATAGAACTTTTTTAATATAATTTTTCTATTAGTTTTCACTGTTTTATTATACTTGCATACTTTTGTATTTAGATTACAGCTGTAATATATACATTTTATAGCACTTATAGCATATTATAATATTATATTTAATCATAATAAATAAAGGAGTTTTTACACAAAAATAAAGATATAATAAAATACATATAGAATAAATTTAATAAAAGTATAATTAGTTAAATAAACTAATAATTTAATAACCTGATAATTTATGATGATCTATATTATACAAAATTTTAAAAACTGTAATAATAAAAAGATATAACAAATATTAGTATTTTTTTTTTTTTATTAAAAAAAATTATATTTTAATAGTTTTTTTTCTTTTATAAAACTTACTTTAATCAATCCAAGTTGAAATAATTAAGTAATTTTAATTTTTTAAAAAATTTTCTTTATAAATTCACTTCTAATCATTGATCTTATTCAAGATTTGATTGAAAAATTTTGATTTATTCTATAATATAAGTAAATATTAATATTATTTTTTAAAAAAAAAATTATTAATTATTTTTTTTTTCCTTTTTATATATAGATCGATAGATCTTTTATTCAAAACTAAATAAATTTTGATTTATCTAAAAAAAAATAAATAAATTTAGTATCTTTGTTTAATTTTAAAAGAAATCATTAATAGAAATATTCCTTTTTTATGAACTTACTTCTGATCTATTGATACTATCTAAGGTTGATTTAAATTAATTAATTTTAATTTATCTTAAAAAAAAGTAAGTAAATATTTGTATTAAAAGGATTTTATCAAATTTCTTATTATAATTTTAATATAATTTTGTCTAAATTTAGGTTGATTTAAATTAATTAATTTTGATTTATCTAAAAAAAATAAGTAAATATTCATATTAAAAAGATTTTATCATATCTCTTATTATAATTTTAATATACTGTAATTTTTGACTGTTATTAAGAGATTTTGTTTTTCATTTACAGTCAACTCTTAATATAGTAAACTCTTGATATACCGTATTCTTCCGAAAATAAGCAACACTTTTTTGTTATAGTATTGCTTATTTTTAGGTAGTTTGATAAAACGAAAGAAATTCAATACGCAACCATCAAATCATGTGATTTTTGGTGATCGAATTTCAAATATATATTCGTGACTTATTACATAATACGTGAAATAGGTTTTAAACTTGTTTTTTTTACAATGGCAAGACAGAGAGCTGTTAAAACTGTTAAACGTAAGGTTAAAATTGTAA